CTGCTGGCTGGGCGGTGGTGTTCCTTCACACCCATGCTCTCCGGGATTTACCCTCGGGCAGAGTCCCAAGAGCATCAGGGGGGGCAACAGGGGAGTGAAAGCCAGGCTCTCTCCAAAACCGTGCAGCATCAAGGGCTCAGATCCAGTCTGCTCTGCCCTGGTCAGTTTATTATAGTGTGGCTTCTTGTTACTCTGGACCAAGGTCCTGGGTCCCAAATGCTGCCTGCATCCGGCTCAGGGGCAGAAAGCAGCAGCACCAAGACACAGCGGCGTGGGGAAGGGGCATCTCAGACAGACGGCATCACTCACATGCTCTCCCCTTCCCCAGCCCCTTGCTGAGCTCTTCTTTTCTTCCGAATTGGGGCTCGGTCAGAAGCATCAGCACCAGGGTTTGTTGTGCATAGACAAGCTGGCAAATGGACACCTTGCCCGCTCAGGACAGGACCTGCAGAGCTCGTGGCCTCCACCACGGAGACTCAGACTCGTGCTCCCCCCTCTGCAGCTCCTCACTCTCAGTTTTCACGTAGGGCTTAATCTTCCCCACCTGAACAGCCCCTCCCACACCCCCAGTCAAAGTCTCTGCCTGGGGTCTTCTCCCCAGAGCAACCCAACAAGCTGACCCACCACCAACCATCGCTGTGATGCTTTAGAGAAGGGTCAGCTTGTGGGGAGCCCTGCAGGGTCGCTCCCCCCGCAGAGGCCCTTCCCGGGTGCGGGAGGACACCCACGCACGGCAGCAGGACGCGGCCAAGCACACAGCACGGCCAGGGATGTGCTAGCGCAGAGCGGAGCCAAGGCAAGGCAGGATGGTGTTACTTCAGGACACAGTGTTGGCCTCCTCCGCTCCTTGGGAAGGGTGGGGTGGGTTGTTTCTTTTTTTCCTCTTTTCTCTCCTTTGGTCATTTGGAAGTGCAGGGCAAAGCTGAGCCCCGGTTCCCTCCACAGATGAGACCACCACTGTGATCAGCAGAACAGCCAGGATGAGGGCCAGGGGTCTCAGGCAAAAGGTTTGATCTGAGTGTCCCTCAAGCGCGGGGTGTTTCTGGCTATGTATTTATTCCTCTGTGTTTATTATAGTGGGACCTAAGCTGCTGCTCACGCCACTGCCAGGGTACAGGATGTGAGCCAGTCATTCCATACCTCATTTGACTACTTTGTTTAAATCACCAGCTTCTGGAATCAGGTGAATAAGGGCAATTCCCATCTTCCTTGTTCAATAGAGGGCTGGCTGCAGAGGAAGCAGGTCCCAGGGCTGCAGGAGGATGCAGGTGGCACTACAGTAGGAGAAGCCGTGGGCTACCGCTCTTTGCATGTAAGACCTGGTCTCCTCATGTGGGCACAGTTTCAGTGGGATCTGCACTCCCTTGTCTTGGTGCTTACCATGACAACATTTTCAGCTATTGGAAAAGGTTTTGAGGTGCTTGTGGTGCACTGGGGGTGGGATGGCATGAAATCCCATTCATTTAAAGGCCTGGCCTCAAGATTGTTCTTAACACCTGCAAACTGTAGAAGCTGGCTTAACTGGGAACTTGAGGGTCTCTTAAAGAAACCTTGAAGTGGTTTCCTCAGCAGTCCCCAGGTCTCCTTCTCCCACGGCTTCATCAGGCAGGGTCAGGCCAGTCCACATGGGCTGGCCATGGCTGGAGCAGTCCAGCACCTGGACCTCAGTGTTTTGGAATGATGGTTAGCTTGATTTTAGCTGGAGCCTTCAGATGGGCTGAGCTCACCCTCCCCTCCCCAGCTGCTCTGAAGCCTTCCTCCCACGCAGGCATCCCAAGAGGCTCTGGCCTCTCTGCAGAGCCCAGGAGCGAGGCGCAGCTGTGAGCAGCCTCTCCCCACACCGGGCACCCTCGGCAATCCAAGGGCCGTGTTCGAGATGCTGGAGGCGGTGACTTGGGATGATTTTTCATCCCCTTCTTTCTCCTTTCTGCATCCTCTGTGCCGTCCCATTCCCTGTGGCTCGTGACAAGCTTCCCCCCGCCCCGCTCCCGACCCCTGGGGTTGGCCGCCGCGCGCCGGTTGGACTGCAGCGCGTCGGGAAGGTCTGTCAGTCCCTTGTGTCTTCTCTAGCCAAGAGGGGGAGCAGAGGCTGGTGCAGAACTTGTGCAACCTCAGATCTCACATCCTCAGCCATGGCAGGGACATGCAAGGAGTGACAGTGAGGAAAGGAGTTGCCAGTCTGGGACTGCAGCTGATGAGAGCTCAGCTTGTGTCTTCTCAGGCTGCAAGGAATAGAAAAGGCCGTTTTCTTGCATCCTGGGACTTCTCAGCCACCACCAGGGTGCAGGGGTGATGCCACTATAGCTGCAGCAATGGATGTCGTGGCAAAAGCAGGCAAGTGACACAGGTTTGTGTCTAAAACCAAACAGGTCATCCAGGAACTGCCTGTAGCAACCATGCAGTGAAGGGTCTTTGATTTGTTGAGGCGTGACCTGTCCTTTGCACACCAGGAGAGTAAAGCAGGGTGCCAGGGAAGGGGGAAGCATTGCAGCCAAGCTCCTGTGTGCCCACACCAGCATGGTGGCTTCTAGTAACCCCAAGAGGCACCATTCCCTGTCACCCCATGGTGCTGGGGACCAGTTTTTCTACAGGAAAGGGCTCTTGGCTGGGGGCAAATAGCTTGTGTGGAGTTAACATCCCCCCCCAGCCCCTTCCCTGCTGCCTGGCAGTGATGGAGGATGTGCTGGGGGCTGGATTTGGATGGGGCAGAAGGGCTGGGGAGGTTCAGGTATCCTTGGGAGCTGGAAGACTCCTCACGTTACTGAGGGATGAGGAAGGAGCCAAGCACGTGTCTGCTGGGACCACATCTCTCGGTGCCTGCGTTCCTAATACCAGGGCTCCTGCATACTTTCTCTGAGACCACAGCGGAGCTGCAAAGCACTTCCTTTTACCAGGATATTTATTACTAAATATATGAATCTGGGAGCCTGTGGAGCGTGAAATTAGGAACAAATGTAAAAAAGGAGGTCTAGACAGGAATTGTTCTGCTTATGGGCCTCCACATGCTCTGCTCTCCTCCCCCTTTGCACACTGCAGGGTTTCATGCTTCCAGGTACGCGGCTTTAATCAGACAAGTGTGTTATGTGAGGAAGAAAAAAGCGAAACGCAAGCGGTTTCTCTCTGGATGGAGCGGTGGATGTGATGCCACATCTGGCTGACCACAGCTGGACAGAAACTATGGAAATTGGCTCTCCATGACCCTTTCTTGTCCCTGTGAGGTAGACATCAGCTTAATTAATTGACGAGGAAGCTGGGGAGCCCTCCCTGCCAGAGCTCTGCCTGCCACCTTTCATCTTGGCCTGGCGAGGAGCTTGCAAAGATGTTGATCCTCTCTGATGGGCGCAGCGCTCGTGCCTGAGAGGCTGCAGGGCTGATAGTGACCACCGAAGAGTTTCTAAATCCCCTGTGCATTTTTTTTTTTGCAACCTTGACTGTGTTCTTCCCCACCCCGAGCCTCCCCAAAGCGTTTTGCCCGAGGAATGAGGGCAGGATTTGGCCCAGCGCTTGCCCCGTGGCTGCGTGGTGCTAAAAGGCGTTCAGACGTCGTTATAAATTACCTTCCCTCCTACAGCACTGCTCAGCAGCAACATAAAATGTGATACTGCTTTATCCATTCAGCACTTACCCAACTTTAGCAGGACATTAAGAGCCTGAAAATATGCCACAGATTTATTTTCTTTGGAAGCAGGTTAAATCCCTGACAGATACGGTTGCTTTTCCTCGGGTCCTGAAGTAGTTTGGGGCTGTGGTGGCTGGTTTTGTATTTTAACCTGATAGCGTGAGCTGGAGGCCAGCTTTGTTAAAGCATTTGTAAAGTAGGTGGTCAGGGTACGATTTCTGCTTTAATTTATGTCGCTTCTCCTGTTCCCAGCCTAACGCTTGTTGTACTAAAGGGCTGCTGGAGCTTTAGCTGTGGAGTGATGCTGGTGTTACTGCCCAGAGCTGTGAGCAGGTGTGTGCAGGCAGGTACATGTCTCCTCAGCATCATTCCTGGGGCAAAGAGCTTGGACTTCTTCCATGCGGAATGACGGGGAACTCAAGCCCTTCCAGCAGCTGTCGGGGCAGGGATGCTCAGAGCAAGTCCCTTGCTGGTGCTGTGGGGCTCATGTCTGCCTCCTGGATGAGCCCAACAGTGCCTGAAGCAGGGACCTTCCACTACTACCAGCACCCCGATTCCTCTAAGGGGCACTCCAGGGAGAGAAGGGTGCTGGTGGTGCCTCAAAACACAAGCGTGGGGCCAAGATGAGCCACAGCATCGCTGTGACGTCCAGCCTGCTGTGTCCCAGCCACAGCGTTTGCTGGGGTGGGGATGAACAGCTCACTCGAGGCTGTCAGAAGCATCATCCCAGGGTGCCCCCACAGCCCCCCAACGCTGTGGTTTGGTCATGGTGAAAGCGAGGAGCGTGGTGCCTCCCACACCCCGTACGAACGATTCCTGTACCTCAGCCTGCTGCTCAGGGAAGGAAAGCGCCTGTCCCTGCAGTCGTTAAAGGCTCACTTAGCAGCTCCAGTTATTCCAAATTAAAATACCACATTGTTTTCATGGGGAAAAAGGATTATAGGCTCAGAGAAAAATGTGTACAGCTCAGAAATCCTTGCTGCAAAACTCCTCTCCCATCACTGAAGCTCTCTGCCACCAGGCAGGAGCCAGGAGGGTGCCTTGGGTGCCATGGGCATGGGGCAGGTTTTATTTCCCTTGGGTCCCCACTCCTGCGTACGGAAGAGCCCAATGTGACCCCAGAGCTGCTGCTCACAAAATCTCTCACCCACACATGAAGCTTTTTTTATCTCCCCTGTACCTGCCTGGTGGCATTTGCGGGGGACGGGGACTCTGACGGCTTTCACAGGTGCCCAGTGCCAGGACCCAGCCTGATCCCACAGAGCCCTCCCAGTTTTTAGCTCCCCTGCACACAGGGCGGGGTGAGCTGAGGGTTTGGGGATCTGCAGCTCAGCACCAGCCTCACCCCGTCACCTCATGCGCTTGCTTTTGCAGGTGTTAATGGAGAAGAGGGCGGATGACAGCCGGGACCGTGGTCATCACAGGTGGAATATTAGCGACTGTCATTTTACTTTGTATCATCGCCGTCCTCTGCTACTGTAGGCTACAGGTAAGGCTGTGACCCTCAAATCGTAGAATCATAGAATCATAGAATAGTTTCAGCTGGAAGAGACCTTGAGGATCATCGAGTCCAGCCTTTGTCCCAGCCCTATCACCCTACTAAACTATGTCCCCTGACGCAACATCCACCCATCTCTTAAACACCTCCAGGGACGGCGACTCAACCCCCTCCCTGGGCAGCCTGTTCCAATGACTGACAACCCTTTCGGTAAAGAAATTCTTCCTAATATCTGACCTGAACCTCCCCTGGCACAATTTAAATCCATTTCCCCTCATCACTCTCCACTAGGGAGAACAGACCAACCTCCCTTCAGGCAGTTGTAGAGAGCGATGAGATCTCCCCTCAATCTCCTCTTCTCCAGGCTGAACAGCCCCAGATCCCTCAGCCTTTCCTCATATGACTTGTGTTCTAAGCCCTTTCCCAGCTCGGTAGCCCAACTCTGTGCCCTCTCCAGCACCTCGATGTCCCTCTTGTAGTGGGGGTACTGCAGTGGGGAGGGATGCCCGTGGGCAGCCCGATGTCCCCAGGGCTGGCATGCATGGTTGTGGCTTGGGGACAGTCTGGGATGCCAGCTGAGCGCCCGGCCCCACGGGGCCATCCCGTTTCAGTACTACTGCTGCAAGAAGGATGAGTCCGAGGAGGACGAGGAGGAGCCCGATTTCGCCGTGCACTCCCACATCCCTCCGCTCCACTGCAACCGCAACGTAGTGCTGACCAACGGCCCGTCCCTCTACCCCTCGTCGCCCTTCACCAAGAAGGCGTCTGCCAACCGGTCCAGCTGCCCCAGCTGCACCCCCTACGAGCCCCCCACCTTCTTCCTGCAGGAGCCCCCCGAGGAGCTGCACAACGGAGGCGACCGGGTGAGCTACAAAACGGTGAGCCAAGAAGATCTCGATCTGCCGGCGAGCGTGGGCAACTCGCA